AAGAGCAAAATGAAATTAAACATTCATAAAACACTATCATCATTATTTTTTAATGTTTGCATTACCCAGTTTTGTTTTTTGTTTGCTTATTTAACAGTTTAAAGTCATTTTATCACAGAGCAATCCCGAAGTTTGTTTCCGCATATATTTACATCAACGAAGTTTGCAGCCAGGATAAGCAACGATATATCTATCCGAAGTTCTTACCTTAAATAACTGGTGCAAATAAAGTTGGAACAAAATTAGTGGTGACAGAATTAGTGGTAGGATTAAGAATTTCAGAGAGGTAACAAATCTGTTGCTCATCCCTTCCACTTCCTCATCCCCCCTCCGCTCCCTCCTTTTCCTCATCCGACTGTGTTGCTAACGTAGTGAAACTAAAATCTATATTCGGGCGGAACGCGAAAGATGAAAATATCGCTTGCTAAATTTAATTTGCATACAATGATGCAGCAGGCCATCTTTTCACTGGTGACAACCAAGCCGTTTAAATGTCAAAAATTATTTTTATTCAAAAATCAACTTAATGGCTTATTTTTGCAACTTTAATTCTGAAAATATCCAATATCTGTGCGGCAGATACATCAGTTCTTGTTCAACAAACAATTGTTTAATTTTGTTTTCTTTCGTTTTTTTTTTTCGTCTGCTGTTCCACTACTCCCAAAAATGATACTGTTGCTAAATGAGGTGTTCATTAAAAAAAAATAGAGATGTGGAATCAAATAAGAGGAAGAAAAAAAAAACTAGCAGGTATCATTGACATCAATTCTTTCCCCCTTGCATTCGTCACATTCATCATTCACTCACTGACTGATGGTAACGAAGGTAAAAACAGAATAAAGACAAAAAAAAAAGAAAGGAAAAGGACTTAATTAGAGCCTAAAATTTATTGAATTTAAATTATACTCTTCTTACTTTTTATACGATTTCATTACAAAAAACTAAATTTATTTGTAACTGCAGATTTTCAAGGCTGACAGAAATGCATGATAAAAAAAATAAATAAATAAATTAAATTAAATTAATTGAAAAAAATTATTGTTTTTTTGTTTGAAAATATATTGTACATAAAAATTAACGCCGATACTTTATTGAAAAACTTTGAAGAATGCATTTGAATAAAACCAATTTTTCTTTTGGAGCTTATGTCGGTGCATCCCACTTATCCACTAAATAGCTTTCCAGAATTTCAGAATAACGGTAGAGAGTTCTTCCACTACAATACAGTTAACACCTCTATTCACCTGCTGCTTTGTTTTCGGCGTGAAAATTTGTAAAAAAGCTACTGCTTGGTACAGGAGGTCGTTGGCACAAAACGCGCGACATTTTTCACTGCTGTTGCTCATTGATCGGGACGGGATGACTGTCCGAAGCGTATGTATGGCAACGAAAATGGGCTAAAATCAGAGCTGGAAATGAACGAGGGAAAATGGAGGACGGGAAAAAACGGGGCTAATTGTTGGCAGTGAAGTGGGCATAATTGATGGGTTTTTTTTTTTTTTTTTTTTT